TTCTCGAGGGTATGGATCCTGTCGCGTTGCGGTCGGTCCTGCATCCGGTAACTCACGAGCGAAGAGAGCGTGGCCGAGACTAGCGTTACATACGGGATTTAACAGTGTAACGTTACATCGTCGGTTTGGCCTTTCCTGTGCTCCTCGAGTTCACAACGCGAGTCTTGGATTTCTCTGCGTACGAAAGAGGAGGTTATTGTGCGAGGGGTTTTAAATTCCGGCCAGGTTGAATGCACCCACAGCGACCGGGAGACACCTTTCTCTTTATTCCGCCGATCAACGTGTAAAACAGTATCCAATAGGCTTTGTCACTATCGTCGGAGCACCGCGAACCAGGACTTGGACGAACTTCCGTATCAGATTTCTTATATGCGCGACGAGCGACAAACGCGATTCGTAATGCGAAGAAAAACGAAGCAACGACGGATATTTACGAGTATCGTGCCGAAAGTCTGGTAGGTCAAGAGACGGTTTTTTTACTCGATGCTTTCGCTTTCTACTCGCGTGTCAGACCGTTGAACCGATAATCGCGCTTTTGCCTTGGTTAATTTGCAATTGCTCGCGCGTACATCGTGAATATCTGAATATGAATATTCGTAAGAAGCGTGAATCATCGACGAGTCGATCAGGAATTAAGATTATACGGATAACAGAGAGAGAGAAATATGTATTTGAATGCCAGTTTCGCGTCTAGCGTGGTCGTAAAATTCCGCGCGTCGCCTTTGAATACTTTGATTTTTCTGCCGTGGGAAACCCGTCGGAGAGTGTCGTTTTGTTCAGCGATACGTGGGCCGAGCAATGATGCTGACCTACCGCAAATGGACGAGCGGTGCGCGAACACGAAATAAATACTAGATAGAAATCCGCAGCTGCGCCCGCGACCTACGTGAATCTATTTCCGTCCGATGAAATCGACGGGAAAGCCGAACGGATGTGTAGATTTTCGACGAGCTGAGGGTTTAACCTATTTCGAGAAGAGGATCCAACGTCGCCAATTTACGATCGGAAACGATCGAAAGCATCCTCCTTGGCTTCGGAGCATCATGGATGTAACAAAACCACTGTAACCGTCTGTATTCCATCCGCCACTATCTATTTTTAAATAATCCAAATGATTTATAAATAGCTTGTTTAGTTTAAGATAAAGTGCTTCTTTGTATTCTCTAATAAAGTTTTGTACGGGCAGTTGGTGAAATAACGCGTTAATTATTCCGTGCGAGATACGTAATCACGCGTGGCACGTATTCGTTACGCGTGGAATTCCAAATTAAACAACTCGATAAAGATCATTTACGTCACGTCAAGAAGGGTTAATCCTGCGCCGAGAAGCGAGCAACCACGTGCACGTGAGATCCTATAATGATTTCTCGTTGTTATTACACGAGGAATGCGAGGTCTGGACGGTTAACGAACCCCTTCCTGTTTCTTGTTTACGGAACACGCCGTAGGATTTTCACAGTCGCGATTCAGCGGGTAAAAAAATTCTTTCGCTAACGAGCATACATAATCAAGCCGATTAAAGCTAATCGATAATCCCGACCCGTTGATTTGCAAAAATAACACGTTTGTCGTTGCGCGATGGCACGTACTATTCGTTCAAGTGGTTCGGTAATGTTCGCTTGCGCTCACATACATATTTTAAAGCGATTACATACGAGCTACCGAATCGTTTAGCATAACAGGTGCGAGAATGCGATTAACCGTTGAGCACTGCGCAGGCGAACTCGGAACGAGTCCGTGGACTAATTTAAGGAAGAATACCATCTTGATGGTTTTTAAAGAATCAGTATTATTTGTTACGGTTTAGGAACATTTTTTCTATAATGTTAAAACTGATCTCACGATGACCATTGTTCGGTCTCGAAGATAACGTTTCCTTTTAATTCCATCAATTGCATTCAAAGAATTTCCACTGATTCGGTTTTTGCATCCATTCCTCGATTCTTTCTTGCCCTATGCGCGCCCGGCGGCGGCGTCTCCGCGGACGTTCCGTTTCTATAAATGTCTCTGTAGTCTGTAGACAGATTGGTCGCACGTGAAAGACACCGGTCGCTTTCCTCGTATGACTTTTCGTCCCTGTAAACGTGTACGTCGGATGAAAACGTCAGACAGGAAACATGCCCGAGGGCGTTCCAAATCGGACGAGCCCTCTGTAACGTCGGAACGATATAACGATCCAGGCCACATTTAAACAGCGCAGGGCACGCGCGTCTCGAGAAGGGAACGATTTTAAGGGAGTGTCGCCAAGCAGAGCAGTCTGTGCTTCCTAATGAAGAGGGTTCGTTGAATATATTCCATTTTTTATACGCATGACACGCCAGATCAGGGCTGTTCGAGCCCTTATGTCGTGGCTATTTATATCGAGTCTCGAGTACGGTCAAAGGGCGAGAAAAAGAGCAAACATGTTTCGATCGATGCTAACCCTTCGGCAGATATTTAGCGATAGAATTAGTCGTGCGGCTGATCGTGGTTTGGTTTCTCGCGCAATGTTCGTTCGACGGTTCGACCAACGTTTCTTGATGCGCAGGAACTACGCTTCTCGAAATGGAAACAAATCGTAGAGACAGCTCTGGTATGCATCCTATGTTTGGGAACCACTTTCTTTTTACGCGCTTCCTCGTCGAACGGAGCGTGACCGGGATGATTTCTTTTCGCGAGAATACATTTCAAGGTTCGTGGGTATATGCAGGAAGCGACAGTTGGCGCAAAAGATTTTAGCATATGTTGTGACCCACGACGTGCAACACGTGTATACGCGACGATACCGTGAAAGAAAATGAATGAATATGCATTCCATTCATAGAAACAGCTCGGAGTTCGTTGTCTGCGGTCATTCGAAAAGGGAACGGTTCGTTGGAAAATGTGTACGATCTCGATAATCGCCTTTTGCGACGAGAAATGTACAAACTCGAACGTTAGGTAAGGTAAGTACCTAATCTCGGCGCTAAACCAGTCATCGATACTCTCAACTTATTTCGTTAACACGATTGTCGACAATTTGGATATTCGAATATCATCGACGAAATCGAGGCCGCGCGTGTTCGAGCGTCTGGAAATTACCAGTTATTCGATGTTTCATTATTTTAATCGTCCAATTTCGTGCTCGCGCATTCACGATTTAAAGTAAATTTACCTTGCTCGTTCGATTCTCGATAAGCGAGCCGAAGTCAGGTGATTTTCTATTCGATGTTTGATCAAGTGATTTCAAGGATGAAAAACGTCTGCAACGATTGAATCGCGCTCTGACAACGAGAACGCGTTACAAGATGCGGGTGTCTTCTTGCGCGGTCATCGACGTTCGCTATCGTCCGATTGTTGCAAAAAATAACAATATTTACGCCGAAATCCGAGCGGAACCTGTGTCCGATACCAAATAGGCATTTCGAGGAAATTGGCGATACGAGTGCGCGACGGTACGGAGAGCTAAGCAATTTTCATGATTGCGATAACGAACCGAGTCAAGGACGCGTTCAAGGTAAAAGCAACAGCTCGATATCGGTTAGGAGCGACAGCTTTCACGTTCTCGTTTTACGAAATCGAGCGACGACGCCATGAATAGGTAAGGAAGGTTCTCGTAAAAATTCTGTACACCGATCCACCATCGGAAAGAAATCGTTTACGTCAAAGATTGTTTGCTAGGAATTAATTCGAACGAGACTCTCTGGGTCGCTGAAAAAAATGTCTATGGTTTACTGTTACGTCTCTTTTTGGTTGGTAACGGTTCGGTGATTTAGCGTTAATATTAACCAGGCACGTTCGTTTAGTCGACGCGTTCATGCTGGTCACATGCGCTAAACGTTCGAGCACATCGCGAACATTGCAAACTTCAACCTGGATCCTTTCCAATGGTTAAGTTTCTCTAACGAGTAATCGAAAATTCCTCCACTCGAAGCGAATAGACTTTTTTCTTCGGAAGAGATTTTTCTTGGACGTTAAAATCTATTATCACTCGAGCGGAATAAACGCTGGACAGCGGCACGCTCGAGTCCTTGCAGTTTTACAATCTTGTTTGAAAGGTAGTCGCGTACCCCTGACGATTCTAAAAGTGGAACATCGCGGGTCGACCGACCTTAAGAAACAGCTATTCCGGAAATACAGAAAAACCTACACAACGTCTGGTACTCTTTTAGTCGGTACCGTGTTTTTTTTCCTGTCCAAAGAGATGGTTCAAACTAGAGAGCAAGGATCGAAAGAGAGATACTAAATATGCGCGATCCAGTTGCCGCAATTTCCTCAGAAGTTACGATGCGGAATACCGGCGCGGAACTGTAACAAAAGAGAAGAAGTTTCGATCAGCGCCAACACCGATTACCGCTGTTCGAATGTCATCGATGTCGCAACTCTGCTCATCGTTACTCTCAGTTGCCCCTTTTTTACAACCTTCGAAGAATTCTCCAGAGAATACGACTACCTCTTATATGTGAGAATTTCCTACCGTTCAACTTCCCGTCATTCTACCAACTAAACTCTCACGGAAATGTTACAGTTTTTCTCCCTAGCAACGCGAACAAGAAGCATCTCTTCTATCTTTCCTCGGCTATGACGGTTCGTTACTCAATCTTATTCCGGTTTGCAAATATTGATCGATCGCAAATGGTTATCGTTCGACAACGTCAATCCGATATGCCGCTGCTGCTCGGTGACACCGATATGGCATTTCAGATCGAATGATCGATCCTTCGAGGAAAAACATCCGTCGAACGATCCTCTCGCTCGTTATTGTACCCAACGATTCCTCGAAGGTAGATATTAATTCGTGGACAGAGGAAGCATCGTCGGGTAAGCGATAATACGCGACTAATGCGCAATGGAATTCCACGATACGGCTTTGACTGATCTTCCTCGAACGACATCGACTCGCGGAAGAGGAACGGAACTTTTCGCGGAAGGACATCGTCGGCAACGGAGGCACAATGAACCACTCGGTTAATGGGTATTCGCGCATGCGTCTGTAACACTGTTGCTCGTGACTAATAGACTGCAAAGAGAATCTAGGCTATCCCGCTGCACCTGGGATGCAACTATTCCGACTTTCAGTCAGTCGCACTTGGAGCTTTGCACTGGCTGCAGCATCGTGCCTCTGTCTCTAGCTTCGAATTGCACTCATTCGGTGTTCTTTCTTTTCTCAAGTTTTCAAGTGAACGATTCGATATCGGTATCGCTATTCGAGGTTGCGATCGGTGAATACAGTCTAGAACTAGACTATGGTCGGGAATCGAGCCGTCCACGATCAGAACTCGAGGTTAGTTAACACGGTGTACGAGAATCGTGTTGTTCGTTGATTCCGTTTAAAATTCGATGCTTTAACCGCGCGTAATGCAGTGTTATCGTCGGAGGGATGTGCGCCATTTTCGAGAAGTAGTTACTCTCCTTAAACTTCAAGTTTTGCATGAACATTTGAGCCCAACTCGTAGGAAATTAGCGAATCTAAATCTTTCAGATGTTTCTTAAAAATACGTAACCCACAATCGAACGATGTGGGATGCAACGACAGAGTCGCATGTTGATGCATGCCGAAGAGTGTCGAATATCGATATCCGTGCGAATGCGCACTGATGGTTGACGGAACATCTCTCGATGCAATGTGCGCGCGCACTAAAGTACCCCCTCGTACCTTAGTACGAGTCCACACCCCCAACGAAAACGATGGGATTATCGATCAGCGTTGCTATTCGAGCTAAGAACTTTTCGCCAGCTGACAGTAAACCGTAGGGACGCGCTATCAACGAAGGAAATCACGCGTTCTGTCGATTTCAAAATGAAACCAGAGTGATCCGTGTTACGTGTTCGTGATCGATAATAGGACAAATCGCGCCTTCGACCTTCTGGCCGTCCTCTGGCCGGTTGGAAAATGAAAATTAAGCCAAAAATGTGAGTGTTCTAACCAAACCAAAGACTTTCGAGCAGTGTGCATGGATTTGTATTTTGATTGGGAAGGTTTCCGTTTGAGAGAAACACCTAAGCTACGAATGCAGTACACAATAGCGATTCACGCTAAGAAATGCGTACCTGTTTCGCGTAATAAAACTTATCCCGAGTTTGTTATTGTCCGAGCAGCAGGTTGGAAAGACGATGACACAATATTGCAAAGTAGGTTGAGACTGCAACCATAAACGGCGGATGCGAGGTTCGAGCAGGTGTACGCTTCTCTGTATGGATTTTTTGTTTCGTCCAAGGTGCCATGATTGCTAAATTATGCTTCCATCAGATTTATTTGCAATCGCGATTTCACATTTTTCTCAATTTTTGCGACTAACAATTCATTCGCCTTGATAGAGTACCCGCTCGCCAAGCATCGTAATTATTTCACGTTAGTAGAGCAACGCGAATATTGTTATGTTACAGTAGCGAAAGTCTCGATATAAACCAGTTTCTGATCGAGGAAGGAATCGCATTAGCGATGTAGCCTAGAATCGCTTGCTTTCGCACGATAACAAAATGGGTAGGCGATCTTCGCGAGGAAACGATTATTCCAATTTCGCGAATGGATCGACAAAAGTAACATTTTTTTGTTTATTACCGCGTTTTGCGAACTTAACTCGACTACGCGTTCGTCGAATAATAACAATTATAAGGCATGTGGTTGTACGTTCGTACAGGAAGTGAAATGCATTCCGATACATCCGTCTAACGGCACATTGGCCGACAGTGCTATGAGTTTCTCTTTGACGTTCTCTCTTCCTCTTTTGCCAATACACGTGGATAGACCCGCGCATTCTCCGATGCGGCGAGTCACTGGATGCACATCATACTGTTTACAATCAACTACTATGTATTGTATGTCAAATCGTGCGTGAATTACATTGCAATATTTCAAGTTCTTGATGAAAATAATTAAGGTTGTGACAATATTTTTTTTAAATATATAAAAAAAACAGTAATGATTTGCAGTTATCTTTAATCTTTTATATCTTAAATAAGTGTGATAATTTCGTGATAATATTATCTGGCTTACAATTTGTACGCTTTTATCGATTTAGGTGTTGCAAATGTCTTCGGTTTGAGGGACGAGTAACATCTTTCCTAAACTTAATTCGAATCTATTAGGGTCCGGCTTGCGATGCAATATCCAAACGCCGATATACCAGAAGGAAGAAGAGTTCGCAACGTACGGAGAAGACTTTTCCAGGACGAGGAAGGCGACAACGAAAGTGTTTCGGAAAGGCGATCCGGCATCGAGGACAATCTTGCGAATTGTTTCCTCGAAGAGGCACGAAAGAACCGAGAGAACGTGAGTAACGAACAAAACATAAATTATCTTGGCCCAAGGAGCAAATACGTTCGATACAGTGTTAAATAACTTGACGATATTGACAGTTTGCGTTTTGTTTGGGTGCAGGCGAAACAGAGATGGAATTTCGATTTCGAGAAAGAAGAACCGTTACCTGGCCGTTACGAGTGGATAAAACTGGATCAAGAGCGAAATGACATCGGTTATGCATCGGAGTCGAGAAATCGCGTGGAAAATTTGCAAGCAATGCAGGTCGAGAACTTGCGAGAAGACGATTCCGTGATCCCGGAACACGCAGAAGAGATGGACGACGACAACATGACCGACAGTACATGAGAAGAGTTTCGAAATGGTTCGTTCATCCTGGAATTCTTGATTGAAAATGAAACATTTTCGTTACACTAATTCAAGGGTAGAATTGATGCAGTAAAATCGACCGAGTCGAAGATTGAATACTTTAGGTAGAAATGGCGAGGTCGTTGATCAAAGAAAACATTAATTGGACCTTGGACCTGTAGTTGGAGCATGGATAATTCCGAGGAGCTAGCAAACCAAAGTTATACACTTTTATTTAAACAAACAATTCGACTTTTAGTGGCAATTTATAAATTGGAAGTCGTTTGTCGTGATATTTGTTACTGTATTATTTGTACCGATTTTATAGTGTCCGTATACAATTATTTAATTAGGTATTTATTATGAGAGCGTGCAATTAGCAAACGAATGATATTATACAATATAATAGGTAATATAAATAGATTATATGAAATGACTTTGTACTTTTCATAAAAAGATGAAATAATACACTTCTCTACAAATTTTTAAATCAGCGTCTAGTAATATCTCGAAATAATTTTGCTTTTCGTCCTTTAAATAATGCAAAGCAGCTGTAATATGCGATTGATGCAGGGGGATTGGATGGTCTCGAGCATATGGTGCACGAGTTATGTACGACCCATATTCTAAAGACCAGAACGAGATGACACATCTGTTAAATGCATCTTCCAAGGAGACAAATATTTCAAGTCCAACACTCGAATCGTGTAGATTTCACTATGTTAACGTTGTTATTATTCTTAAAGAAATTCTCAAGATTTACAGTTGCGGATAAGTACGATCGCATCGAAGGGCGTTTTACTAAGGCGTTTCTAAAAGCAACAGCATGCCTGATGCAACGAGTATCACGGTTTCTTAAAGTGTAATCGCAAGTTCTCGTGAGAAGACAGCTCGTGCACCTGGCACCGCTTCTTAAGAATTGTTTTTTTTTCACGTTGCTCGCGCTATGGAAACTGGTCACGATCACGGTGGTGTACCCATTGCCAAAAATTGCACTTCCGTTCCGCGAATTCCCACGGAAGTGGGCACAATCGCGACACGACAAAAGATGTTCGCGCACGACCTTCATTGTTCTGGAGAGCCATTGAACAATACTATGCTCAAGAATTTTACAAGCAACAAGCATTCCTAACAAACGATGTCGATCAAACTTAACGGTTCGAATCGATATCGATATCTTGTATCTTTAGAAAGATTTTTTCAATTTTATAAGACATTGCAATATCGCAGGTGCAAGTAAAAATGATCGTATCGTACGAAAGAGTACTATCGTTGTCAACCTCGAGATCCAGAATTCATCACCTTGAGCTCGATAAAGATAATTCATCGCGGTTACATTTTCATTCTAAAGCAGCGTGCATGCGACGAGATAACAGGCAAGGACGGCAAACCCGGATTTGATAGCGAAATCCTCCTTCCGATGGAACAGGTGACTATCTCGGCAGTAAACACACGATGCAGATGCAGTCACGCGTTTTCCGGTCGTCTATTCAGGATGTATAAACACACGCTTCCTCGAGAAATAATCTAGGACAGGCCGTCGCGTCGTCTGGAAGATACACGTTATGTAGACGTTATACGGGGTGGGAGGAGAAGATAGGGAAGGGGGATGCGAACGGTGTTTATTTTCCATCCTTCGTCTACAGCGAACCATGAGAGAACACCTGTGCAACGAAATACCTTGCTAAACGGGTACCCCACCTAACCGCAGATGAAAGAGAGACGGTAGTCTCAGTGAAACGCAAAAAGGATTGTTTTACGCGACTCATTCGCTCGTTCTCCCCTCATTGAGATGCATCCGGTGCCACCCTCACCACTTCCTGGATGTTGCGTGGGATTTTCATTTTCAACGACAAGCTTCGCAATCCTTGCATGAGAATTTACTCCTACCAATCATCTTTTTCGTTCCTTTTATCTGCATCTCTCACTTTTTTCTTTCTCGCTATAAGCATTGTCAACAGAGAAGAATTTCAAAGGTACTTGGAAAAATCGTACGATCAAAATTAACGTTCAAGTCGTCGGTACGAATAGAACGATCATTTCCATCGTATCTATATGAAATTTTCTATAGTTACAGCGTAAAGTACTTGTTACGGGAGTGTTTTGTCGATAATTCCCGATTCGAATGTTTGAATGTTCCCGCGCGCGTACGGTAGCGCCACTTGGTCGGCCATACTTTGTAGACGAACATCCACTAACGCTACTTAACGCTGCGTGGCAACGCACGCTGTGATTGGTCACAAGAATCGCTTGTGCACAGTCTGCTCGACGCGAGTTGCATCCCACGCGACATAAAGCTACTTCTCCGTTGCCTTCTGTACGAGATACTAACGATTCAGGCCACGAGAACAGCAACGAGGTAAATTGACAATTATCAATGAAAAGTGTCGATTTGACTCGTTGGTCTTGCGTCTTTCCTAACAGGGTCGTAACAAATATTTCTTGCTCGACGATCAATATCGAAATACGCATGAAAATGATGGATTAAAAGTCAGTTGAATTTTACATATTTCCATAATATTTTTCATCTCGTATAATACAGTTTACTACGTATACCTATATAGATTTCAAACATCTATAGATGTAAATACAAATCAATTCGTTCACACTTGTATAGCTTGTAAAAGTATTTTACCAAGATGAAGGTGCAAAGACGAGATAAAATCTTTTGACCGTTTTGTCCATTTTCGTGCTCTAATTTTCACTATGATGTTTAAATTACAGGAGCTTCTATCGGTTGAAATGAAATGTCCATGATAGTCCTAACGATATGCAAATAAATTCACTGTGCGTAACGTATTGCCATGCAAATATGGAAATCTGCCGAATAAACGTACGTACGAGTGTCCGTGATAAGATTATAGTCGTTGTTTTGAAAGCAGGACATGTTTATTTTTCGTCCCTTTGTCAATATACGATATGCTTTACTTTTTCGTCGATCACTTGTTCCCGAATAACATTACATGCGTGCGTGAGCAAAAAATAAAATTTCACCGTGAAAAATGAAATCGTGTTAAAAATGTTCCAACAATTACATTTCGACAACGTTTTGTTTATTTCTTATTAATCGCGGGTTCGGAATTGTGCATATCGTCCGAAGAGGTAGAGGTCGAATGCATCATAATCATGATTTATCGGTTTGTCATGGTTTCGAGTAGTGTACCCCCAACGTAGAAAAATAAAGTTGGAGAGTATATATTTACCACAGAGATACTGGGACACATCCAATGGCTGCGATCAGCATTCTGCTCGTTTATGTTGCCGTGGAGAAGGGGGGCCAATAACTGTACAACCTTCTCGTGCGTGTTTTCAAAGGCTTGAAACGCTGCGCTCAGGTTGAAGGGACTATATTCTGCGAATGGCGGTTATTTCGTTTCTTCCCTGTTGCCTGTTGCGGAGCGGGAAAAGGGGTAACACCGAACGAAACCGTAGACGGCCGAGAATAGCCGAAGCGTTTAGAGGCTTGGTCGCTTGCAACGAGAGGCACATGCTTCAGTCGCTAGAGAGCGCTTTATACGTGTAGAACGTGTCTTCGCGCAACTCCGTGAGTTGCAGAGCACGCACGCACATCGTCAGGCATCAACATAACTGCGCAATCGTGTACGACCTTCCGCCGAACTTGGAACCACGCGCGTGTCTTGACAGTCGTGTGTTTGGCGGGAAGCCTCCTCTCTTGGATTTTATGCAACAACGGAGTCGATTTGTCGATTCCCAACCGTGCCAGCGAGCAGCATATTGGTGCTTTCGGGCCGTGTGCAATACGTTTTCCGCAAAATATTTTTGTGTCGAATGAAGAACCAAGAGTGATATATTTGTTGTACGTTATCTTGCGTGGATGTGGTAATTGAGACATTCCAAGATCACCAGAGTATGCGATCGATTCGACATTTCAACAACATCGTCGTAATCTTCGCGGGAACACGTCGAAACACGCTCGTCGTCTCTTTGGGAGACTCTCGCGCAAGTGCGTGCGACGTTGCCGGTTCGATATTCCCGCGGGCTATAGCGATGAATTCGTGAGAAAAGGAAAGGAGAAGACTGAACATTAACTCCATCATCGATTCCTGGATATTATTACAATTAATCCGACCATCGAATCGTGTATCGAACTTTGAGGAAATACCCGATATCGTGTTGCTGTTTCAATATCTTGTTTCTCGCTCTCTCGTGGTGCGCAATAGTGTGTTTACTGTGTTGGCAAATATTCTTGGTGGTCGTGCACGTTTCCCTAGTGACGACACACTTACGTTCCAAATATTATCCGTCGGTTGGTGGATGCGTATCGAAGAAAATTATTATCACGGATTATTTGGTATATGCACGAGCAAGTTAACGATCAACGTAGTGTCGAGGTGACGCTGAGCACGGCCATTATTCGAAATTCGGTGGGTCGCGCCACGACAGCGTTGCCACGTCTCCGCGACCGCGAGTATTTCAACGTTCCGTCGACGATTCCTGGAAGAATCATCTTCGTAAATGAGACGCGTATGAACGCATGAAAATTGGTGCGAAAACGGACGATTATCGATCGAGTGGTGTGCGCGTGTTGAAGTTTATCGAGAGTGGTGCGGACTAGAGTGCCGGAGCGCGTTTCGAAAATACTAACTCGTAAGAGGAAAATCACGACTGCGCGAACAGGAACAGAGACTGTTTCTTCGTAAAACCATAGCGGGACTATCGGAAACTACTGGAGGAGAACGGCGACGTTGCCGGTGATAAAGACTGACGAAATATGAGCGCAAGAGTGTTGAATCCGGTGATGATGACGGAAATGAGTAGGAATTTGGGTGGAGGACGAACGGCGCCGAGCAGAGCAGCTCTTGCTCGCGTTCGAAGAGATCTGTTCGGACCCGTCGATCATGCCGCGGCTCGTGCGTTGGCAGAGAGGGAGCTTCGCGCTCAGTCCATACTCGACGCCGAGAGATGGGGATTTGACTTTCATTTGGAGATACCAAAAGCGAATTCGAGGTACGAGTGGGAGCTGGTTACATCGCAGGATGTAGTCCCCGAGCCCTATGCCCTACGCGGTATGCCCTACTTAAGGAAACACGCGCCTAGCTCGCCTCGAAAGCCGCGCGAGTCTTCTTCGCCCACCACGAGATTCCTTCGTAAAGAGTCGCCGACGACTCCGATCCTCCACAAAGCGGAAAGGACGCCACCGCAAGAACCAAGAGTGCCGCACATCGGCCAAGTCACCATGAACGAAATTTTCGACTTCGACTCGGACAAGAAAATGTACATCGTCGAACCCACTACCCCCGTTTTATCGACCTCCACGTCGAGGAAACAGTCCTCCATAACCGGTAAGCGATAACATGTTTTTTCTACTTCGTAATTGTCATTGTACGTCGAGAACCGACTGCGTCGTGTAAACACGTGTGCTTTTTCAATGCGGGCAACAGGAGTGTCAATCGCTGCTCGATATTGCGCCGCAAATTTCCCTACCTTTTCCAAAAGAATACTTACACCATTATTATTACTAAAATTCAATTTAAATTGTTGTTGACAATTTCCCGTCGCTTGAGATACTAGTCGCACGTTTTGCACGCACAACTTCCTTCGGTATCTCTTGTATTATTGTATTTTTTGTCGCGTTCTGTTTCTTTTTTACTACATACTAATCGTTGGCGTGCTGAAAAAAGTTGCGTAATTCGTTGCCGAATAACAGATTTCCTGAATTATTCTGTTTGATTAAAGCGCATTATCCGAGTTAATTGACTGGCATTATTTATACGGGAAGCATGTACAGCCTAGGTCAATCTAATTCGCCGACCGACAGCCAAGGTCCTCGCAATTTACGTAATTACGTACGCACCTGATAACAAGTATGAACTGCATCCGTGCGCCACATCGTACACATATGTACACGCATACCTTTTGCGTGAAGAAATTCGTTGATTTCCAGATCGACGTTACGACGAGACTTTGTACGCTGCATTGATTTGACTATTCGATCGCCAACACTCGTTTGAGAGTATTTCAGCGGGTGCGGATTAGATAAAACTAACGTAAAGTCATAGTTGAGCGATAAAGTTCAAATTAAAGGCGAGCAAATACATTTTTGACACGGATAAGCATCGTTCGATAACTGTTCGCGAGCGTAAACAACAATGATATAACGATAAATATTATTACAGTTTAATTGGCGAATCGGTTATTCGAACAACCACCGGAATACACGATATTTTCCGAACGGGTTAATTTTCAGACGCCGCGTATTGCTGCGTATCTTCCGATGTATCTATTCGCGCGAGGTCTTTCGTATTGCATCTTGCATACGGCCATTTTGTTCAGATGCTACCTCACGGTCTAGTTCCTCTTTTTTTCGCCTATTTATTATTCGGGCGTGTACACCACCCACGCGATGCCACTATTTCTGGACATGACTCGTCATATGTCCCGCACGCCATGCATCTACACGCGCGTGTAAACACATTCTGCGTCGCAGCAGCACGCGACGACGATCCATTGTTTATACGTCGCGTTGTATCCACAACGAACGGAGTCATTCGTTCGATAAAGTTGCCAAAAAACCGCGTGTTTTAACTACGCGAAACCAACGTTTCTCGAGATGTACATCTTATTTATTCGTTTGAATAAGAAGGGAAAATTAACTATCCGTACGAGTTGCGCCAAATTTAAAAAGTTTTATGTTCTCAATTTCTTATCCCTCGAGACCTTGGTCTAAGTACTATTGACATCGCGAGATACGAATTTTCATATCGTATACTAAAAAGATTTTTATTTCGTTTATTCGTACATGCATATCGCACACTTGGTTGCAGTTACGTCAATGGAATGCAAAGACTTTAACAAGTTCAGGTCGATCTCGTAACACGAAAAATAAAGCGCGTTGCAAAAATTTGATAAATTGTCCATATTTAATTATTCTCTTGCGCCACATATATGGCTAATCGCGCAAACAACCGCGGGGCGAGCTCGGAATCATAGTAATTTCTGCGAGTGATATAGAGCGGGTGTCTCCGACTTGAGACGCGCTGAAATTTTGGCTTAATTGCGCGAGATTACGCGCAATTAGTCTTACCTTTGATGTTTATTCGGCGACTCGGCTTTCAGTGGTCGCGTGCGACGCGCGACAGTAACCGTTATTATTTAACGATAATATCGCGACGATACGCTCGCTGTTCGATTAACCGGATCGATACACACCGCACGACGCGTTTTGATTTGCCGATACGGTTCGTTCCGACGAGTACGCCTCCCTTTCTCCCTAGTTTTCGAGTATACGGGACAACGAACGCGATCGTAACGTACCGTTCTGGCTGAAAGTGCAATAGGGGTGCCGACTGATTTTCCTAACGTACGTTATTAATGAGCCACGCGGTCAGCTGTTCGATCCATATGGGGTTGCTGCACCCCCGTTCCCTTTCTCTTCCGCGTACCCCTCGGTCATCAGCTTTTGTTCACGCGTGCGACCTTCGTGCGAGTGTGCGCCTCCTGCACGATGCGAGCATGGGGGTATTATCAGCTGTGCTCACAATCGCGCATCCCTGAAAAACACGGGGTGGATGGCCCATGCTACGCGGGGTGGCGCGATCGGTATTTAAAATCATGATTATTCGATGGGGCCGTTCCGACCCGCATCCGCGCGCAAATTATCCATTTAAAGGGTCGCGTACAGTTGAATGCTCGGAAAGGTTTGATTTTCGGATTTTTTACTCGAGCTTTCTATTAATTTTTATCATTTTTCTTTTTGCATATTTTCGAATAGCGGAGAGTACTGTTAACGTTTGTTACAGCCATTAACGTTTATTGTTACGGTTAACGTTCACGACGAGACTAGAAGAGGGGCCGCGACCCCGTTGACACAGCTGTTCCTCGGAATCTTCGTACTTTCTGTCGCGTGGCGTTGCAATCGAGACTAGAAAAGCCAGATGAGTGTTAGCCCGGATAATTGAACAGATGCGGCGAGTTTCCTCGTGGAAATTTGCCAAATGTTCGTTCGAAGAGGGTCGAAGGGGGGCACACGAGTCTTTGTGGTTCGTACCGAGCTGAAACGGCGCGACGTGACTCATGATTGCGAGTGATCGGTCTGGGACAGTCTGCGTTTTTGTCACGGGCTTCCTACATCGTGACTCGTTAAAGGATCGCAAATTACATCGATCAGAGGAATAAAAAATTGCGTGCATCTCGTTATTTCGGGCTCGTTGCAACGATTCGGGCTATGCGCCGTTTTCTTTTTCTGTCTTCTTTTCTGACTGCTTTCGGTTTAGCGCGGTTTAATTCCTAACTTGCTTCGCGACCATTCGCGGGTATCTTATCTGTCACTGATATATAATTAACACGCACCGTAAGTTGATATTACATTTGTAAGGTTATCGCGAAAGATGCACGAGGCCAAACTTTATGTTGCATGCGATTAGGAAGATACCGAATTTCAGGACGGCCGATGCGAATAAAGTTCTTGGGGTGATTGAAATTTTATTAATTAACGAGCTAAATTGTGTGTTCAGGTACGACAGATAGATATAAACGCGCATTTTACGGATTTAGTTGGCCTTTTTTCGTTGATTAATCGTTTGTAAATGACTCGGGTAATTTTACGGATGTATAAATTTTCGATTTTTGTATGTTTTCAGACTTCATGAAGAGTCGTAAACGTAGCTTAAACGGTAGCGCGAAGAGCATGATAGAGCCGCCAGAGAAAATGGCCCGCAACGCGGGTCAGATACGCAGCTAAAGAGCCTTCCCAGCTGCTTCTTCCTCCTTCAGCCTCGCTGTCCTTCTTCCATCTCTTCGCGAGAGAGGGACCGGAACCACGAAGCAAGCCAAGCATCACTGCCAGGAGGAACGAGAACGGCAGAAGCAAGCTCCGGCAGGAGACGCGAGGTCCGTTGGCTGTGCCATTCACGTAGATTTATTCGCCATGAATGTAGACGAAAACGGTGGACAGAGAAAAAAAAGATTACAAGGTAGCGCCAGTTTTCGTTGCGTACACGCATACACTTTTCGTAGCCATGCCACGGAAATGACAAAAATAGTAACAACGACTACGTACGAAGGAACTGGACAAAAGGAAGAACGACACCCCACGGTTGTTGCTATTTTCATTTTTTCTATTCACAATTTTTTCTCTAATTTCTTTTTTTTTTTTTTTTCAATACGTGTATATGTAATTCATTGTGTCGTTTATATTTTTTTTGCATTAGGTTAAACACAGAGTAACGATTAGAATATATTATATATACATATGTAGAGACAGACAGAGAAAGTCACAATTTCACGAAATTAATTAACGCAATATATTTGTTCGTTCGATTCTATGGAATGAAGCAAGGGAGGGTTGAATTACGATGACGATGATGGGGTCGTTACGCCTAGTACACTTTAGACGAAAAGTGTAAGGAGACAAAAATATATTAATATTTCTAGGATATAACACGTAGATTTTAATCGAATCGTAGGTTTTAAGTGGAAAGTTCATTGCGTTTCTGATCGAAACATCCGACGAAAGAAGGCACGTTTTGCGTACCCTATCCACGAAACTTTTCGAAACGGAGACTGTTTCGGTTTGTAGTCCGCGGGTCTTTATCGACTTTCCGACTCGCTGGAGATCCGTGGGCGTTCTAAAACCGTACTAGTGAAAACAAAGCTGGATTCGCCGAACGAATTTCGCGGTGGTTTCGATTGATCGGTGTCCTTGAAACGATCGCGAAATTATTTGTGATGTTAACGTTTTGCCTGGTTATGCTAAAAGCTAAAACACGAAAGAATCGAATTTTGAAAACATTTCATTTATACAGTCGAGAAAACAAAGGAAACGCAATCACGTTTCCGTGGTCGAGAAAGGAAACCATTCTCTCGATGGTCATAAACGTGGAGGAAAGTATGATTTAGATACGTAGTTGGTTACCCATGTTCAAGCATTGATCTCCTGTACGACTTAAAGAAAGTACAGCCGATGCCAAATCACCCAGCGATTTTTTTCTTGTATATCTTTTGAGAAGGAACCTTGATCGTACTCGGCTTCTTCTATAACCCCCCACCCCCACCCCTCTTCACTCGCCTCACCTCTTCTTCATTCATCTCTCGTTGCCCTGATTTTCATCGAGTATATTGTATATAGGATATCGAAGCTTCACGAAGATTGCAGAATTCAGAATTGATGCATCATGTATCGAATGTCCTTGAAGACGTAAGTTATAGTACAATGATCAGTCGTGCAGTAGTTAGACTAATAATTTTCATTGATTTGACCGGCCGGTACGACGCAATCTTCATTTAGTTGGTCGATGGATTTGCATTTTCTTGTACAAATTGTGACGAAGAATCTCCCCTGTTGTTTTTAATGTTTTACGATCGGACCCTGGACGTCGGCGGTACAGTGTAAAAGCCGTTGAAAGTTCTCCGAAGCTTAACGAGATCATCTTTTGTGCAGGTATTATTAGGATGAAATTCGCGCGATTTACATAACCGTTTGATACCACTTAGCGTGTACAAATTGTTGTTTCCGGAGGTCTTTCAACGGTTGTTTAAATTATGCGAGGGTGCATCTGTATCCGAATTGTTTTATATGTTCTTAACAAAATTACGTAGATTCAAAGTGCACAACACACTATTTTGAAAACGAACCAAAACTTCCTTCGTTACTTTCTTCATCGCGAATGAATTTATGCAAAACCGTAACGTTAATGTAAATGTAATTGTATATCTCTTTAAATGGTATATTGATTTTATAATGGTAGCTGTTTATTACAAGTTTTTGTTTATAATAATTTGGTTAAAGCCATCCTCTGGATTAATTCCCAATTTTTTTTTTTTTTTATCTCGCACCCTGCTCCTTGGTTTATTTCTTTCCGTTTATCATCTCCCCGTCTTTGAGATTATAATTCAAAAATACGACTGGTGGTTACAAAGCTATTTTTTTCGTAGTTCACTCGCGGAGTGTGCTATGAGCGGATGAATCGATTCGTTGAGGAATTCTAGTGGTCGTTTTTCATACCGGTCGCGTTGTATTCCAAGTTTCAATGGCGCTTTCATGGCAGCGATACGCGTACAGCGAGAGTTTCGCGATAAGAAATTAAATTAAAATCAAAAGTTTGTACGATGTTCGTACGAAAAAAATATCACTCGCACGATCGTTACCACTTTCGAAAGAAATTGATAGTCTACGGCAGACTGCTCAAAATTATACCTTTTCCTGCCGCTATGAGAACGAGAAAAAACTCTAGAGAAACGCATTGGACGACTATGGAATCTCGTTGGATCTGCAGAGGTCGCGATACAAGAAGTCTGCCGTCGTACAAACGACCGTGCCGTCTGAAACAAACGAGAAAAAAATAGTAAAAGAGAATATAAATCGTATGTCTATGTAACCCTGTGATGTATTAGTATGATCTCAGTAAACATAACTTAGCGTGTACTTCGTATTTGTAATAAGTAGATCTATATGTACGTTCCAAATGTGACGTAAGGCCCCGGTTAAAGAGTGTGAACGATGATGTTTGAGCACGTGTGTATGATGTTTATTTGTCCAGGTGAATGTTGATAAGAAAAAAAAAAAAAAAATGGAAAAGGCAGAGTAAAAATACCCCAGTGCGCCTCACTTCCAGTTGGTATTCGTGTAAGAATTATATATGTAACGACAATATTATTATATAAACCATAATCGTAAGAGAGTCTAAAAAAACTAACCTACATAAGTGAATGCCTATGTTTATTAAAAAAAAAAAGAATTATCTATAAAAAAAAAAAACATGTATCAGTTTTTTACGACCCCTTGGTGTATGAAATTTCTATGCTTTCCCCCGCGTAGCTGGCACCTTTTATGCATTAATCCCAGGTACACATGATTGTCGAGTTTTTAGTGTTCCATTCATGATCCCTTCCTTGTTCATCTAAATAATTCGATCACTTTGTAGGCTGTTTTAACAATAATTATCCAATAATTTTTGTAACCCTCCTAACACTAACTCGTCATCTCCTTGTTACAGCAGAAACTATCCTAGTACTCCCTGAATCCTAGTACAATCTCCTTACGTCGACCAAGAAGCAATACAAAATATGTTTCTTGAAAAAGATTCAGGCAGCTGCAGGTACAACGGGAGCTGTACACACGAGAGAGTATTCCAAGTCGGCTAAGAAGCAGGTGTTCCCGGATGTGCGCGTATTTATCTTGGGTAAGTCATACTTCGACTTCAGTTCCACAGTTTCTTTTTTCGTGGTTCGTGTTTACCGCGATCAAATTGTTTTCTTGAAGGCTGAAAGTTGTCATGGCTTAAAATTGAAAACCATCGATGGTTTTTTGGTGCGTTGAAGAAACACCAAAAACAGGTTGACTTATATTAAATTCCAAAAATATATTCAAGGTAAAAGGAGTATGTTAGTTTTCCAAGCTGTTCGTTGTGTTTTAAATTGGTGATTATAAAGTATGAAATGCAAGCGAAGTCGTTACTCCACGTGGTCGAATTTGCAAGTAAATTAATGCCGAGTCGAGGATATTGATACAGAGCGTTACACCTTGAATACGAAGTACATACATGCATGCATGCCTCTCATAATATATATTCTTTGGTCGGACGGTGCTATATCCATGAACGTATCACCGTGATTTTTTTTCCATTAAATGTATGATTATTCATCGGTAATTTTCATTTAAAATTAAAAGAGGATCGAGATAAAATTTTGCGAGATGAAAACCAGAAAGAGCATCGAACGAACCGGTGCATTTAATTTAAATTCGAATTATTGGATCATCGCGCGAATACGAAATTGAGGTCAAAAAGTTATGCAAGATTTCCTTCAGTGAGCCAGATTGATTAAGCGGTTTGGAATAACGATAAGATCGAATTTCATTTTCATATTTAATCAGCGGCCGCGAAAAAATACACGATTTAATGTTCTAAAGAGAATAGAATAGAAAAGGAAACGTACGGGAAAAATTCTGTTTCAAATGCTTTATCGATATCTATCGAAGAAGTTTACGATTACTTCGATCCCGGTTCAAAAGTTGGTTTTAACGCGTTCGTTGGCCAGTCTCTTTTTTCCGTAACTCGTGTCCCCGTTGTGCCTCGTATAAACACGCGCGTTCACTATAGTTATGCTTCTATGCAATCTCTGTTGCTAGGCGCACCTCGGCCCACCGACAGTATTTTTAGACGATACGTTCACATTTCGACGTTCATTCTTGAATGAGAGTTCCCTACCCGTAGCCTCGACCCAATACTATCACAGGAATTCCTCGAATTTCAATATTGATTTTATGTAAAAACAAAGAGGAAACGTAGCCTAGAGTAATAATATAGAAAAGTGCACAGGATATTCGAGAAATTTATCATAAATACGCGTCGATGCATTCAAATTTGTTATCGTTCAATTTTTCATGATTCCAAAGTATAATTAACGATCATTTGGGAGAAATGAATACGTTTAATACGTATGATCGGTTTGTTGTTTGAACGTTAAAAAAAAAATCTGTCTAACAAAGTTGAAACATTTTGCGATAGTAGCGACAGTTAGTGGTCACTGTAGGAACTGGAAATGTCGGTAACTATGCCCGGTGGTAGAGATATCGTTTCACGGCAAGATCAGATTCGAATTTACATAAAATTACGTAAACTAGCATAGATTTATTTTCTGGTAGTGTGTCGAAACGTCGCGATCGAGTAGTATTTTACGCCCAGGAAAGTCTAGCACGCGTCAATGGATTTATATTACAAAAGAGATCCCACGTTTGCTGTTATTTCGTTTTTTTTTTATACGAAATTTGAAAGTTTGCGACGTTTTAATTTTTTAGAATTAAAATTGGCCTCGATCTTTCGCTAAAATAATTTGAAGCAATGGTGGAATATTAATACAAGACGGCAGGAAAATGCTGCGTGGTCAACGGAAAATGTTACATCTCTTGAACAGAACTACGAGATTTGATCGCGAGGCTCCAGCTGCCATTGTAAACAGGAAGTCGATGGCGCTGTGCCATCCAGATACCATTGGTGCCTCCGATTAGAACCGATAGTCCACTTGCTCGTTAGAGAATGTTGAAAGTGCATCATCAAATTGAGGAAACAGTATTAAGAATCATTCTTTCGTTAATAATACTACCCGTTTGTACTTAGATTCCAACATTGGTATACCTGAATGTACTTGTTCTGAAATTTGTTTTACTCGATGGTACGAATTTCCTCCACACATTACCACGTAGCTTTGAATCGCAGGATACGCTACCGAGTTTTCTCTTTGGTGTTACGCCAACGAAGAAAAGAACCGTGTGGTAGTAGTAGGGGAGGTCGCCGTTACTCAAAGTGGTCTTTGGTATTATTTTTGGACGGCAACTTCCCGAAGAAATCTTCGAGCTGTGCCTTTTACAAATTGCGCCACGAGTGCAATGTACCTGTTGTTTACCACATAGCGGGTTCAAAGCCCGGTCAGTGCAACGGTCCTCCACCTTCCCTACCTTCCTCTACCCTGCTCATCTTTCTTGCCCCACCATCGATGACGATCATCCCATCCCCTACCGTCGGCCTCTTCAAGTAAGGACAAAGCAGTAGTCGGTCGTGGTTCGAAGTCTTCGAGGATGCGCAAGACGAGAAGCTCGCTTATGTCTCTTCGTAAAATATACACGACGCCCGTGCTCCGAGCCTTCCGAACGTGGTTCGCTTCTTCCAAAACGCGGCGTGCGATTATTTTTATTTTCTACGAATCTCTTCCACTTTCAGCTTCGGATTTTTCGAAAAATCCCCGGTTAATTCCACGATGAAACGTATCGTTTTTGTCAAACTGATTTTTTGGTTTGGTCGCGTGTATGATTGTCATT